AAAATCTTTAAAAAAAAAAAAAAAAGTATGCGGGAGAATGTGGGTAGGTTATATGCAAATACTATGCCATTTTAATTAAGGGACTTGAGCATCTATGGATTTTGGTATGGAGGGGCTCTGTAACCTATCCCCTGTGGATACTGAAGGATGACTGTATATTGTAGGATAAAGAAATATGTAACATGTTAATATTTTTAGGAACCAAGATGTTTAGTGAAAGAGAAAAGAGATCCAAACATAAAATTGAAAAAGTTAGGGGAAAAATTCTACACTATTATATGTGAATTGGAAATGTCAACATGAACTCATGATTTTTAAAAATATATATTTCTTATTTCTGTTCCTTAAAGGGTCTGGAAGCAATAATACCCCAGTAGCAATGTATCATTAACACACCTAAGACCCAAATCATGATTTCCACTAAAAGGGAGATCTTCTACTGGGACTCCCCATTGTCCGAACAGGTCAGAGCCCTAAGGGCAGGAAGCAGAATGAATAAGGAGTAGGGGGCGTGAGTACTGTGACTGTGGGCACTAGTGGCTAGGGGTAACGTTTCCAGTGATAGCATTATATGTAATTTTTAAAAATTATCTTGCTCAAATAATTTAGGTGAAAGTGGAACTCATCTGGAAAATTCTGTTAGAAATCTCAAAAAGTGGATCTAGTTGTGGTAGATAAAGATGCAAATTCTTTGCTACCCCTCCATTGACAAGTAGAGTCTAATTTCCAGCCCCTTGAATCTGGGCTGGCTTCAGTGACCTGCTTGACAATAGAATGCAAGGAGACTGATGTTCTGGGACTTCTAGCTTATACTTCCAGCTGAGCCCAGCCTTCCAGCCATTCCTGCCAGGATACCAGACATGTGAGTGAAGCCATGTTGGACCCTCCAGACCAGCCCATCTACTAGCTCAATAACACTGAATGCCCTCCATCAACACGTCATGGAGCAGAAGAATTTCCAGCTGAGCCCTGCCCAAATTCCTACCCGCCAAGTTCTGAAATATTATAAAATGGTTGGTGTTTTAAGTCATTATGTTTTAAGGTAATTTGTGACAAAGTGTTAGATAATTGGAACAGTAATGGTAATGACAAAACAAAATAATGTAGAGTTATATTAAAATTATTACATGAAATGTGAGAATGGAAAGCCAGAGAAGGACTTTGATGTTTGATGAACTTAATAATCATTCCCATTTACAGAGTATAGTTAATTAAATTCCCTTTAATATTTTGAAACTCCATTTATACATGTAATATATTTGATCTGTTTTTTAAACACTTCAAATACTGGTAGGACAAACACAAAAACTCTGACAAGTAAAACATTCCTAAGTACCTAAACATGTAATGAATCTTAAGTTCTCCTATTCTAATTTTAATAACATTAGTCAACTTCTCTTAACTTTTCAACGTAAAATCTAAAGTCTTTGAACAAAAACCAGTGAACTTATCTGCATTTCAAAGTAATATATCTACCTAGAAAAGGAAAAAACAAAAGAGCTAATCCAAGAAACTTTGGAACACAGTATTTTGACTAGATATATCCTGTCTACAACAAAAACAAAAAAGAATTTTAAAAATCTGCAAACAAATTTTAATCTTCATTTAGTAAGTTTATTGTTTATAGAGGTATAAATGTAGCTATTCCAAAATTATATTATGTGGATTATAAATGTGAGAAATGAAGAAATGTAC